TGCGCGCTCTCTCTCTCTCTCTCCCGCATGAATTGAATATTTCAGTTTTCAATTTCGTTCTCGCGTGTCCCCACCCTGGCGGCCACATCGCTTTCGCATCTGCGGGCATCGATTACGTTAATATTAATCGATAAAAAAAAACTATTTTTAATCCGTAGACGGCGTCGCGCGAGCTATAAATAAACGGGGTCCCGCACGCATTTTTATTTGCATGCCGCGGCAGTTAGGAGCACGGAATTGCAGGCGGTTTGCATTATTAATTCGTTTTCATTAATAATCTGAGAATATTGTCGGTGAGAAACGAGTAGATTGTATTACTGATAATATATGCTTTCGCGTTACGGGATTGAACATATCGATATACTTGTGTATACTACTTCTTATTCTTACGTTATTATTAATTCGTATCTTTCCGTGGGATCGTAAAATGAAAAGTTTCGTCTAATAACATGTTAAGAAAAATTTATTTCCAACTTAACGCATATTTATTAACGCGAGCGATTTTAATAGCGATGAAAAGTCCTCTCGTGTTTGTGTTTCCAAGCGCGATACATTATTGAAAAATATGCTCGAAAATTTGCGAACAAGCGTATAACGCGTTTTATTAGTAACGATCTTCCGTGCCTGTTCATTTATTAATTTTGCTCATCACGCAGCCATTGCAATTCAAATGTATACACCTTTTATGGGATGCAGCAGAATTTATAATTCAGATATTTTTATCAATTTTTGCTAAATTGAAAAAATATCGGATTCATTTTAATTTGTTCGTGAAATAGTAAAATGTTAATTCAATAATGTTTATTCAATAAAAAAAAACAATTTCGTTCGTGATGAAAGTTTTCTGATTAATGTTGCTCGTTTTTCGAGATACTAATAGGGTCAGTCATGCGTGTCGTAATCACCATTCAATCACTCGCCCTTCGCGTCTGTTTCGTGAACTTCGTGCGTAAAGAAATTTCAGGGGTTGTTCCCGTTACATTTATGCGGCACGGCACGTAGCGGCGTTTTACAAGGCAACGCGACAAGCGGTTGTAGGTTCACTATTACGACAGTTATTAGAATTTGTGCGAATGATAATGCTGCGCTCGTGCGACACGAAACAATCTCGTCGCCGTGGATTTAAAGTACTACATTCATTTTGTTCGCGAGTCCGAGTCTATCTTTTAGGAAAAAAAAAAGCAACGACTCGCATGCAATCTGATAGCAAATGCAATATTAAATCCTTTTTACCATATCTTCCACATTTCTCCCGGATGTTTTGTTTCAAATTTTTTATTTATATTTCATATTTAATGCTGCAACTGACATATATGTGTATTGTTCTCTGATTCAAAGAATTTCCAGGAATATTAATCTTACAAGTCGTACAATTAAATGTTTTAACATTGGAATTGGGATTTATAAAAAATCGCGATCTTTGATGTTCGAGATCCACAGGCTAAAGAGAAATTCAGCGATGAAGAAAACGAGAAAACAAAAGTGGCGAGAATTAGCGCGCATTATTCCGGGAACACAATGAGCGCGTTGTTGCGGCAACGCGCGCGCGAGATCGATCCGACCGATTAATCAAATTAACGGAGAGCGCACGTTGGGCAATGCCGCTATAGTTAAAAGCAGTTTCGTTCGTGTAACGCGCATCTCTGGAGATCGGCCGGAAGTCTGCGAAAAAAGACGCTCTGATTCCCAAGATAATTCCCCGCGCGCCGGCTTTTTCTGCGGGATCCTCCGCTCTCGTTAGTGGCGCAATTACCGGGGAAAGTGTTCGGCGCGGCACAAAATTACTCACATCGAAGTAGATCGCGGTATTTGCGCTTTAATGACACCGCATTTTGCGCGAACTTTCCGCCGCTTTTGCCGACCGCCCCCGCCCGCCACCGCCGGTCCCGGCCGCCCTGCCTCTTTAATCAGCGGCACAAATGGTGGATACGAACTTTCAGACACGTGCAACTTTTAATGGTTTTGTGTCGAGCGTGTCGTGAATCACGATTCCAGCGCCGCGTAATCGTCCGACCGGCGCGGGCGCGGCGTGTTTTTAGATGCCATCCAGGATTAATCCTTTTTAGGGCGGATAAATTTTGGAGTCACTCGTTGGAGGAGAGCGCGACAGTTTATTTTGACGCAACGATGTGGGCGACGAGGACTTTTTGAACTTAATTCCTTGAAAATGCAGGAATATGTAAAAGAGAAAGTGAAAGATAATAAATATACAACAAAGTTCCTATGTTAATAATAGATTTCAATAATAAGTAAATAAAATACTTATAATTATATGAAGAAGAATAAGTTCATGTTATTAAAAAATCAAATTATAAATATACAGTAGTAAATGTATAAACTGTAAAAAAACGCGCTTTTTTTGAACTGCAATACTGTTTTTTGCCTATTGTATATTTTACTGCTTGATTATCATGGGAATGAGTCGATGAAACAGACTTCTTCGAATAAATAATAAAATATCCTACAATCTCCTTAAAAATGGATTCTTTTAAGTCCTCATAAAAATTTTTTCGTGAAAATATATTTAACTGACGGAGCACAGTTTATCAGCGCACGCGGAATGTCGTTCTTCGCATAATTTTCTCATCGCGTAATAGCACAATATCGCTTGTCGCAAATCGACGACAAAGTTGGTTGTTAATATTTTACTGTTTACCAGTTTACGGTCGCGGTTTACTAATGCTCGCGGCAGTCGACAAGAAATCGTGTTCCTCGAAAAAATAAATTTTCTTTTCTCAGACTTAAAAGTATTAAAAATTGAATTTTACGGCACAATAATATAAAATAAATGGTGTAAAATAAAAAATTAAAAACATATAAAATAAGCAAATAATTTAGAATAATGTAGATCAAGTAATAATAAAAAATGTATATATATTACTATAGTAAACCCGTAATATTAAATCTTGGTTTCGAAATTTCTCCTCAGAAAATCCTTTTTCAAATATTTTTAATATGTCAATTTTCTACTATTAATAGATATATATATATTCAGAAAATATAATTTTTCACATTTTTCATCGCCGAAGGTAAATATTGTCGTCATCATATAGGATTCTTCCAACTTTGTACGCGCGAACGAGTGTGATCTTAATTCTAAAATAAGCTCGCAATCAATCCAGCAGCAACCGCCCTCCTTTCGATCAGCGAAAGTGCTCGCTCCCGCTCAAGGGTTAAGGTGACGACGAATTACAAGCGGTGGCTTTAATGCCGTGCAGCCACCGGCTGGGCCGACACGCGCGCGCGTCGCGCGACGTACGTTACGCGCGCCGAGTCGGGGAGAAAATCGGCCGCGGCCGCCTTGAAAACCGGCCGGTTAAGGTAAAGAACTTCGTGTCGCGCGTATCGATTTCGCGGTCAGCCAGTCGGCCAGCTCGCGGGGTGGGAACGCGAAGGGGAGGGTGAAAATCTTCGCGTGACCGGTCGCACGGTCGGCCTCGCGCCCTCGCCCTCGTCTTGCCGCCCTCGTCGTCCTGCCGCGACTGCGGCACCCGCAATCACTGACCGAAGTCACCAGAGACCGGCCGCCCGGTGATGGCTGCTCGTTGACTTACGGAAAACCGCCGTCGCGATCCCGTTTCCGCCCTCATCAATCCATCGCGATCGTCCTCGTGCTCGATCTCTCCGGGCCCGAACTCTCGGGCGGCTTTACTTCGCGCCGATGTTCCTGCTCGTCCCCCCGCGGGTCTGCCGTCGGCGTGCCTATCGCGACTTCGAGATCGGCATCATCGACGTTCCCCGATCGCCCACGAAGTTTCCGGAAGGTGGTTCTCCAATCTTCGAAGGTGTTGCGAGTAGGTAAGGGCTTTCCCCGATTGCGATTGCGTGCGCGGACGGTCCGGGATGGGACCTGCGCGGCTCCGCGGGTGCATCACCGCGGCTTTGGTATGCGTGAGGATTTTGTGTTGCGATTATTGCCTCGTGCGAGGAATCCTCCGATCTTCGTCGCTCGGTGGCTTCTTAGCCCTCTTCGCGGGTGGGAAATCTGAGTCACGAAACGCGTTTCGCTAGCAAATAAGAGAATTTGCACTTTTAAACGTATATTTATGCACGATAACTTATAATTGTTTTTCTACACTGTGAAAAAAAATTACTTAAAACAAATAAATATGTTTCGGGTACTCCTCAAAAAAATAATTTCTTGAAGCAAGTAAAATGTTTTTGTTTTAAGTAATTTGTTTTCTCAGTGCAGACACTTTTACTTAAAA